AAAGAGTGGATTCTTTCCCAGGGCACATTCATGTCTGAGGAATCTTAATTGACAAAGCAGTAATAGGGTTTGTACCGGTGACCACAGTCCATTTCATTCTCCAGAACTGGAGGGACAAACAGGGGTAGTTACAGATTGCTGCTGGGAAAACAACAGGTCCAGCAACATTGGATTTATTTTTTTTAGCGACTTGCAAAATAGAGGCAAAGAATCACGAGCATTGGAGCAGCTTTAGTTTGTCAATGAATAACTCCCTGGCCAGTGAAGCAGACTGGCAGAGGTATTGCAGGTAACTTGACTTTTTGGAGTGACAGTAACAGCCCCAGAATGAGCTGTGTTGTGCAACAGCAGGTTACACCTGACAAACGTACTGTCCAGCTCCTCTCCCTGAGCCCAGCCCAGCCAGGTACAGGCAGCCTGCGTGCTCCTGGCCCCCTTCAGTCTCGGCACTGGTATGCTTGGACCTACACAGTCACATCATGACAGAAAAGGCTACAAACCCAGAGATTTTCTTCAAAAAGCTCCCCTCACCCCTTACTGTAAACCACTGGATGAGCCTGAGCAGCATCACATAACGTTCCTCCCTGCAGCGACGCTAGCAGCATCAGTCCTCCAACCGGCTGTGGTTGCCCCTCTCATCCTTCATCGATGTTCTCCAGCGAGGCAGCACACTGCAGCGCCAGCTCCGACAGCGCCAAGAGAGGAAGCTGCTTCTGCTCAGGCTGCAGCCAGTTTTCATGTTTGCATCATGCTGCTGCTTCCAGGCAGGGTATTTCACACAGGCCTTGCGCAGTTTCTTTAACAACTCATCAGGAGCAGGGAAGCACGGGGGGAACAACCATGGAAAGGTCTTGGCACATGTCTCATCTAGCTGCTACTAACAGCTACTCCATTGCTTTTCTGGCTGTTTAGGAGGGGCTCAGGATGCACTAGAGAGAAAGGCAGAAGGCTAACTTAACATCCCTCCAGCACTGCTCTGCCACTCAGTTCAGGGTCTCCAAAAGCTACTGAGCTTCAAGATCCTGTTCAGATGGGGCACGAACAGTGGGGGGTCAGGCAGGTTATTGCACAAGCAGAGCCAGAATTGCTGTGTTAATCATATCCCTCTTCACTCGCTGGGTGTTTGACAGAGAAGTTGATAACGGTGTGATACTCATCCTCAGCCTGCCAGGATCGCGGTGTCACCACATCCCTGTTCTTCAAGGGCTTTGGGCACCACCCGAAACAAGGAGGAAAGTTGTTTCACCTACCTGAACAGTGTGTAGGGTCCACGTGGACGTGTAGCCCCTCCTAGAGGCTTCTCCCTGGCCCCAGCGTCCTTTTCTAGTTCGCTTAGTGATCTCACTGTCTCCTCCAAGCACCACCAACCCTACCCCTTCCCAGCCCTCTTGTAGCAGAGGTCCCAAGTGGTGTCCTGTACCCCAAACATCTCTCTCCTGCCAAGCCAGCTTGGACAGGGTGGACCCTCTAACACAAGCCAAGACTTTGGTGGAAGAGAGA